GCCGGTCGCCCCCGCCGCCTCGTCACCATGAGGGCGTCGGTGCGGATCTCCCGCTCGCGAAGGACGGAGCCATGCAAGGTGGGCATTGGACACAGGGGCAGCTCCAGCCATGGGCTGGGCAGTGTCAGAACCATCAGAACCCCCCAGTCCTGCCCCGCAGGACTTACCCCTGCCAGCCACTTCCAGGATCCCTCTCCCCATCGCTTGCAGACGCCTGCAGAGAAAGCGCAGCCAGCTAGGGAGTGTGATCCCTGCCCATTTGATGCTCCCTATAACTGGAAAAGGTGGCCTGAAACATGCCGGGAGGGGGGAGGCAGTGTTGCTCTTTATTTAATCACAGCCCCTTTCTCCAGCAAAGAGTGGTACCACTTGCATTAAATCAGTGCATGTTCCTTGTGCGGCACCTACATTCAAGGCCTTATCAGTTTGCTGAAATATGAGGAGTAGCCTCCAGCTTGGCTGGAGATGTGGCTTGCAAGTGTTCCCAGCTCAGAACCGAATCTTTAACCCGGACAGCTTTTCTCCTGCATGTTTCTCAGGCATTTGAGTTAAATACACATACAAGCCCAAGGTTTTACAGTGTATAAATAAACCCCGCCTCTCTCCGTGAATCAGGTTTGGTTCACAGGTTGCTCTGCAGTCATAATGCAGCCAGTTCTCCAGTCATCCGTAGTATCCTCCAGGTTAAACGGAACAGCAAAGGCCTAAAAACACAAGCAGGAAAAAAACCACCTTTCAGTCCACTTGTTGCCTACAGAAAGTGGCACAAGGGTGACTTGCCCCTGGACGTCTGTGCTTGAATTATTGTGCACGGTAGATGAGCAAATTCACAGCTTGTTCTGCTTGTGACTTAATGTCTCCCCAAGTTTGCACTCCTGCTGGAGCATCGCCAACTCCCTGTCGGGAGGATCGTGTCTTCCCCCAGAGATGGCCCAGGGCTACGTAAGCGCTGTCCTGGCCATGCTGCGGGAAAGGTGGGGGGAGGAGACTGTGGAAAGCTGTAGCTCTAGGCTCTGCGGTCCCTTGTCTCCGCGGGAATGGCCGGTGCACCGTCTGCGGGGCTTGTTGTGAGTAGTCAGCCTTCCATGCAAAAGCATGGCCAGGACGTAGCGCTCCTAATGGCCAGGCCACGAAAGCTGAGGCCACCCAGTTCAATGGAGTGATCCGAGTCCGTTAGAACAAACCCGACCGGTGCCCAGGCCTTGCCAGTGGTTCTGATGTTTCTTTACCAACCCCTCTTGGTGCCAGACCCGGGAGAACTCCTCCTCCTGCAGGCTGGAAGCCTTTCGCATAGGCTGGGTTACGGGACGTCGACCGGAAGGCAAGGATGGGCGCTGGGAACGAGGCTGGTTTGTGGAGAATTGGGTCCGGGGAGCACTGAGGAGCAGGGTGTGACCCCCCCCCCCCCCCCCCGCGC